CTCACATCAATTTATTACCAATAGCAGGAAGGCATTCAGGAGAGTCACATCATTACTGCAATATGCTGCAGAAAAATAATTTTGGATGCCATCAGCATTAGTGGTTTTATAATTACATGATTTGCGGATTCAATCTTTATAAGTCAGAATAAGGCTATCTTGTTTAGTAACTTGTTCCCACATTGGTGTAGAGATGCCACTATAGGTATAAAATATCCTTTCTGCCTCATGGTTCCCTAGCAAAATTTAATTAGATTGCAACCAGCTTTAAATCCAGGATGTTCCATAGTTGACAGGGCTTAATAGCTTTTGACAAATCTGTCCTTTGTTAATTTGTTTAATCCCCATTTAAGACAATTGAAGTGTCCATTACTTTATCTTGTAGTAGCAAAATCTAACAATTTATAAATCATTATGTCTTATTCAGCAAAAAAAATTCAGCTTACTGAATTTTATAAAGAAAACATTTAAATAAATGATCATGTTTTTGGAAATGCAATAAGAGTAATGCTTCTTTTAAACATGTTTGTACAATGTCCTATAATTGTTCTTTCTGGGAATGAAGTTGCTATATGTATTAATTTTGTGACAAGATTTAATATGCTCAGATGTTCATATTCTTCTGAACTATATTTCTCACATGGAAATTGACATCAGGACAAAGAAAGAGGATTTTCCATGCCCTACTTATAATTAAAACACTTCTTTGTCAGCATTGGAGATAGAAATACATGGTTTCAACTAACTCAGTAGTCAGCAGAGTTGATGGTTTAGCAAGTTATGAATGAATTACTTGTCAGCATAGATTAGCTACGGATGATTACAATGAAATATGGCTGCCATTTATTACAATGCTTATGTAGAACTTATACATGTAATATGTATCTGTGACTACATGCCCAGTATGTTTTTGTTTCTTGTTTTTTAGTTTTCTTGTTTTTCATTTTTTCCCCTTTTTTCATAACCGTGTATATAATTTCTTTTTCTTTTTCTTTCTCTTTGTTTTTGGATTCAATTAATAAAAGCAAAACAAGCAAGCAAACAAAACATTTTGCTTGTCAACCCCAGAATGAAGGGAAAATAAGAAGGTGTGTGATTGGATGTAGATGTGTCCAGATGTGTATGAATCAGAATATATGCTATATAAGAGAATATTATTACCTTCACCACATTGGGAGGTTAGTATATAAATTAAATAATTATAATAGTGAGTCCCACCCACTGAGGTCATGCAGGCCCCAGAGGACTAGTCTCCAGAGATGAAAAATAGCCCCTGGTTTAGACTTTTTTTTCTGGGACACCAAACAGATCATTGATTCTTACAGTTGTGAGGCATTCTGAAGATCTTATCTATATTTATATACTTTTCAACATCTCATGGATTAAAATGAAACACACATACGCCACATTTATATCTACACCATTGGTGGGCATCACATCTAATTACTACTTTTTGCTAAAGGATGCTTTCTATCTTGTTATATTCATTTAATTTAGAGTAGACTGTTCTACACCAGCTTCTGAAGTAATGTGTGATAATGAATTACCTGCAGTAGTTTCCATTATACATGAAAATAATGCATAACCTCACAATGTATTGTACTTAACGTGGAGTAGCTGCAATTCAAATCCATTCAGAGGCAAACATTATCAGAATATGTGCTTTAAATAGAAGCACCCAATAGGCTATGCAATACTTTAGATTGATTTCAGGAAAGTGTTTTGGGAAATTCACAGGGACATAAGCACTGTCTATGCTTTTTTGAAGAAGGTGCGTATTTTCTCAGAACCAGGGGCAGATGCAGAGGACCAAAAAGCTACTTGGAATCCAATTGGATCCATTAATCTCCTAGGGCAAACCTACATAATCTGGTCCTAGTCCTGTAGAGTAGATGACTCTAGGCATACATCCTGCAAGGTCTTTCTAATAGGGCTTGGCCCCTTGATTTATTATAACATTATGGATAGTATTTTTATTATTGGTGGCCAACCAGACAGAGGAGTGGTGTCAAAACCTGTGGCTGCTTGACCTGAATCTCCAGATTACCTTAGTAAACAGAAGAGGCAAATGTTTAGGGGTATGCAAAAAGTTGAACTGCTCTGGCTGAAAAACTTTGTGAAACTTTGTGAAACATCCCATTTCCACTGCAAGGCTGATCCTCCAAGCATGAAGCAGGATGTTTTGAGCATTTTGGAAATGTTTAAAACTTGAAAAGGTGTGAAAACTAAAATATGGAACTTTTGTTTTGTCAGAGTTTTGCACACCCCAACAAAGTTAGGAAATATAATGACAAAACCTGAGTTATAAAGAACCCAGGACAGTACAGTGGTACCTCGGGTTACGAATTTAATCCGTTCCGTGACTCTGGTCGCAACCCAATTTGTTCACAACCCGAAGCAAATTTTCCCATAAGGTTCAATGTAATTACCGTTAATCCGTTCCGGCGTCTGCGGACCACGCACAGTGGTACCTCGGGTTACGAATTTAATCCGTTCCGTGACTCTGGTCGCAACCCAATTTGTTCACAACCCGAAGCAAATTTTCCCATAAGGTTCAATGTAATTACCGTTAATCCGTTCCGGCGTCTGCGGACCACGCGTCAAGGGCGGAAAAACGGCTGCGGACCACGCAGCAGGGCGGAAAAACGGCTACAGACCACGTGGCATGGGCGGAAAAACGGCCGCAGACCGTGCGGCAGGGTGGAAAAATGGCCGCGGACCACGTGGCACGGGCGGAAAAATGGCCGCAGACCATGTGGCGCAGGCAGAAAATGGCCGCGGACCATATGTCACGGCAGAAAATGGCCGCGGATCCAGTTCGTACCCTGAAGTGGAGTTTGCAAACTGAGGTAAATTTTTGCGGCTGGAGCTGGTCATAACCCGAAAAGTTCGTAAGCAAAGGCGTTCGTAACCCGAGGTACCACTGTATTTTCAGGTTAGCTAATTTGGTTTAAAAACTGTCCAAAACATTGTTAGCAAAAAAAAAAAAAAATCACAATAAAAGGTTAACAATTGAAAGTTGCCAACCTTTATCTAAAGATTCCAAATGTTTGAAATTGTCAGCTGTGTGTGAATGTGTTTCTGATATTTGTATTTATAAAAGATGCTCTGAGTAGCATTTGAAGGCAACTATGATGATGCCAAAATGAACACATACGCAGGATAACCACATTATGTAAAATGCTGCAATAATGTACTTAAGTCCTGACAACGGATTAAATAAATAAATTGTGGCATTTGCACGATGCTGCATTTGCATCATCTTTCATTATTTGCTCCCCTATGGATGCTCATGGATGCTCTGTACAAAATCATTTCTCATATAAGTATTCCATGTGGCCTTCGTGTTTAATATACTTCGTAAGTCTGTTTGTAATTATTTGGTATACTAACACTAAGAGAAGATGAGCCAACATGTCTAATGGAAGTAGAAACAGTGGGAATAAATGGGACTCCATGAATAGGACAGCAACACTGCATGTCTTGATCATTCCCTGGTTGTCTGTGCAGCTACACTGTGACATCCCACATGCCATGCCTGGGCTTCTGTAATTATGTCCTTTCTACATTGTTTCCTTTTTGCAGAAGGCCATGCTCAACAGGCTGGCAGAATGTGGCGGGTGTTTTGCATGGGCTCACTTGCTCCACAGCCATCCTCAACACGTAGGGCCTCCTTTGCTGGAATAATGTGTGAAGAGGCTTAGAGTATCAGTAGCCGGTCCACAATCCTGGTTTCTGTGATAAGCTTATCTGTTATGACATTCCATCCAACAAGGGATTTATTTACAGAAGCTAAGAGCTTGGCTGCACATGACTAAGTAATTAGTTAAATTTAGGGCAGTAAGTGTTATTTTATCATTGTGTATTCTACAGGCTGGCCTATGCCCTCTTGGTCTTGTATTTATTCTCATTTTATCTAATCTCTTTCCTGATCTTTTCCAGAAAATTAGATGTGCTGCTATGCATATTATTTTGCATAGGAAATGTTTATTAGATATCTATAGAAATTTCATCTTTTAAAAATATTGTGTTCTTACTTGAGGGATTATTCATTATGTGGAAAATAAAAGCGATACCTTTCATCAGTCTGGATATTAGTAGCCTTCATACCCTCATCCAAATATTTAAACAATAGCCACTCTAAACTTATCTGAACCCTTATTTCTTTCCTTGTACTGCTGATTTTTCACTTGAATTTATGTCTACTTCACCCCCCCCTTTTTTTGACAGTACAAAACCTATCATCACATGGCTTCTTGTGCTCTTAAGGGGTCATTGAAGGAGCCTTGTTATGGTTCTTCTCTACCTAGAATTACCCCTTTGAACCTGGGGTTAATTCCAGTAATTGGAAATACACTGCACTTTTGGGATATGTCAGGTTATGCCAGCAATCAAGGAAAGAATCTGAAAAAAGATAGGTAACAATAGAATTGTAGAGTCAAGAAAGTCTTTTAGCCCATGAAGTCCAACCATGTGTAGTACAGAAATCCCAATTAATACATGACCAGTGGCTGTCCAGCCTCTGCTTGAACATATCCATTGAAGGGGAGTCTTCCCCCTCAATGGGTAATGGTTGAACTGTTCTTACTCTTGATGTTCTTGCAGAAACTTTTGCATATTATTCTTTTGTAAAATGCTTGATACAAGCATCAACATCAAATTAACAAGTAAAGCTTCATTCATCCTCCACTCTAGCTAGCATCATTACACATATAATGCTCGCTATCTTCTTTGGAAGCCAAACATATCCTTTACCTAACACTAGAGGTCTCTTTGGTCAACAGCCTGAGAAACAGTGAATGAGTAAAATGTTCAATCTCCTTTTAGTTTTCTTTATCTTATAATTTTTGTTACTATTTTGTTTTATTTATATTAAGCTCCATTAAGTAGTGAGCTAAAGTTTTTATAGCAAAATATGTTAATCTTTCCAAAAATATGCATTTAAACTTTTTCTAAGAAGATAACGATAGCATTCTGATCTTGTTTTGTGTGTTTTCAAGGTCAAGATACTTCAAACAAATCAAAGCTAGGACCTGTGGAGCTGACAATAGTTATAACCATACCAGTGTGTGTCTTGTCTATTGTTTTACTGCTGACAGCATACACATGCCAAGGACACTACTGCAGATACAGAAAGAAAAGAAGGCCAAACATTGAAGAACCTCTGTCTGAGTGCAATCTGGTGAACCCAGGAAAATCTCTCAAAGATCTAATTTTTGACATGACAACATCGGGTTCTGGGTCTGGTATGTTTATATGCCCCAGAGTCAATTACAGTTTCCTTAGGTGTATAGTTCTTTCCTTAAGGTAGAGATCATAGTGATGCAGTTGTGCATGAAGACTGTTACTGCATTATATTAGTGACCTAGGAGCTAGTGTAGACGTGTTTCTTTCTGTGTCGCTCCAGAGTTATAAGTACTCAAAGATCACATGAAAAGGGACCATTGACATAATTACATTCCACAACATTGCCCTACATCCCAGAAAAATATGGTGAAATAGTTTAGTTTATTAATTCGCATCACACTGTCCTGTATTTAATATTAAGTGAATTGAAATAAATAAATTTAAAAGATAATGTAAACAATTAAAAACTTAAAATGCAACACAACAGAGCAGTCTAAAACAGCATTTCAGTAAATGTAGTGCTGAAAATTTAATAGAACAGTACTTATGCAGGCATGATGGGATAAGAGATCTCTCTGTAAAGAAGTCAGTACACAGTCTGGGCATCACAATATAAAAAAGGTGTTTTTGCTCCTGAGGGAGGAGAGAGAGAAAGAGAAAGGCCTAAGTAGTAAGATGGATATCTTTCATATAGGAAAAGTGTATTTCAGTGTTTAGTAGATGAAAAATAATTCCATCATAGATTTATAGATTTCAGCTTCAAAGGAATTGAAAAGAGAATGAATATTGCTAGCATTTTTTTCTTCAAAATAAAATCTACTGGGGGGCTGCATTTACTTTTTCAAAATTTAGCAGGTGGCTGAGGGAGTCTATTCCAACTTTGTTCAAGCTTTAAGAGCCTGACTTTTATAAAGAAGCTGCTTCTTTTCTCTAATTCTTCCTGGACTGACCATATGACCCTTTTAAATAAGGGGATCCCTCAACCATTTCATGGTTGGTTTTTTTTAAATGCAGTCTCCATCTGCTCCCACAAGAAAGGGCATTTTTTTTTATAGATTAAAAAATAAGAGAATAAGGGGAAAACAGGCAATATAAAAAGCACCTCTTTGATGCAGCTGTATTCATAAGGCTTTAAATATCAAATCTAACACTTTGCACTGAACCTGGAAACAAATGGTTACCTAGTGCAAAATTAAATCTAATTTTTGAGCCCCAGAAAAAATACAGCAGGACAATTCTAAAATCATTAGGTTTCCTGTCTTACCCTAAAGACGGTTGCATGTACGTATGGCCCCACCAGAATGTCTCTAGAGCACTGATACCTCTTTGAGGGTCTTTACCTTGCCAGAGCTGAGTGAGAGAAGTTCCATTGCACCAGCTGCCATGGAAACTAAGAATAAGCCCTTATTTGTGATGCATCTTATAAGATGATGCCAAAGTTGTCCTTTGTGAAGAACTGTGCTGTTTTATCTTTCAAAACTGCCTGTAAATGCCAAGTCTCAGAACTGAGGCGGTACGTAAAATCTTACTTTTTATTAGTGGGAAAATGCTTGTCTTGGGATGAACTTTTGGCTCTATAGAGAGTAGGCAGCACAGATACTCATGCATATTGCATGACTCTTGCATGTGGTCTGGAGCGCTTTTGTAGTGGGGGAAGTCTCTTGTTGGTTGGGTGAGGCACATCTATTTCTCAAGAGGTATATAAAATGTAGAGTGTGTCATATAAGATAGGCATGCACAACTTAGGGAGTGTGGTTCGAAGAGCACCTCAAAAGTTGCTACTGAATTATAATTTTAATGTGACATAAAGGACAAATCATTAAATAACATTTACTTAAACTGTATTTAATTACTATAACTGAATTGAACCTTAACTCCATTTATTTTTGTCCCAACCTGTTCTGCTGTTGTCCTGTCCCTTCCCACAGTTTTAAATTGTACATATTCCCTGCATTTGGGAATATATATGAAAGTATTGTGAGAGCATCTTTTCTGGCAGTGAAAATGTAAATGCATGTTAAGCAACAATAGACTTATCATTTACTATTATCTGCCCAGAGTCATTGGGAGATGGGTGGCATATAAGTTTAATGGATGATGATGATGATGATGATGATGATGATGATGATGATGATGATGATGATG